AAGTGTCTCTGTGGCAGGATGAAGCATCCTTTGGTTATTATGTCCAAGGGTGGTATAGCTGGATCTTGAAGTAGATTGATTCCGCCACACTGATTTCCACGGTGGCTGTATGAGTTCGCACTCCCACCAGCAATGTGTGTGTGTTTCTCTTACTCCACATGCCACTTGTTTAGCTATTCTTGCAGGTGTAAGAGGAAATCTCCAAGTAGTTTCCATTTGCATTTCCCTGGCGGCTAATGGTGTTGAAGATTTCTTTAAGTGTTTCTCAGCCATTTGAGTTTTCTCTTCTGAGAATTCTGTCTAGATCTGTACCCCATTTTAAATTGGGTTGTTTTCCTGACATCTAGCTTCTTGAGTTCTTTATATAGTTTGGATATTAGCTCTCTATCAGATGTGTAGTTAGTCAAACTCTTTTTCCATTCTGTAGGCTGCTGCTGCTTTATCTGAACGACAGTGTCCTTTGGCATGCAGAAGCTCGTCAGTTTCATGAGGTCCCATTTATTGATGGTTGTCCTTAGTGCCTGTACTATCAGTGCTCTGTTCAGGAAGTTGTCTCCTGTGCCAAGGCGTTCAAGGCTATTCCCCACTTTCTCTTCTCTCAAGTCTAGTGGATCTGGTTTTATGTTGAGGTCTTTGACGTACTTGAACTTGAGTTTTGTGCAGGTTGATAAGTATGGATCTATGTGGATTCTTTTTCATGCAGCCATTCAGTTTGACCAGCACCATTTGTTGAAGATGCTGTCTTTTTTCCTGTGTGTATTTCTAGCCTCTTTACCAAAAAATCAGGAGTCCGTACGTCTATGGATTTATAAAATCAGGAGTTTATAGTCTGTGGATTTATGTCTGGGTCTTCAGTTTGACTCCATTGATGAATGTATCTGTTTTTGTGCCAATGCCATGCTGTTTTTATTAGTATAGTTTTGTAGTACAACTTGAAATTGGGGGTAGTGATACCTCCAGCAGTTCTTTTATTATTCTGGATGGTTTTAGCTATTGTGGGTTTTGTTTTGTTTTGTTTTTCCATAAGAAGCTGAGAATTGCCTTTCAAGATCTGTAAGAATTGTGTTAGAATTTTGATGGGATTGCATTGAATCTGGGGACTGCTTTGGTAGGATGGCCATTTTTACCATGGTAATCCTACTGCTCCATGAGCATGGGAGATCCTTCCATCTTCTGATGTCTTCTTCGGTGTCTTAAAGTTTTTATCATATGTCTTTCACCTCTTGTTTAGAGTTGCCCCAAGATATTTTATATAATTTGAAACAATTCTGAAGGGTGTTGTTTCCCTGATTTCTTTCTCAGCCCTTTTGTTATCAAGGACTACAAGGGTCCACCCCTCAATAGTCCCCTCCCAGGGTCCAGGAAAAATCTACAACCAGCTGATAATTAATCTTTGATGAAAAGAAATGAATCTATGTACACAAAACTCCTTAGTCCACACACTTTATTATTCTGTGTGTGTTCTCTCTCTACAAGCTTCTATTCTGCTCTCATTTTTAGCTCTTTTCTTGCCTGATATTCATCTTCTGCTCCCTCTAAGTTCTATCTTAATTCTCTCATCTTAATTCTGCCTCATCTGGGTCCTTTTCATCTCGTTCTTACCCAGCTAGTACTTCCCCACCTGACTCTTCCTCATCTTCCATCTTGTCCACATGTTCTCTCTGGTTAAAATCCTCCTTATCCCTCCTTCTACCTCTCCGTTCTCTGTATTCTCTCAACTCTCCCTAAGTCTCTCAGGAATCCAGTTATAAACCCAAGCAATAGCAATCCTCTGGTGGAGCAAGGTCACCAGGTTAGAATTCTTAAGGGGTCATAAAGGCAGGTAAGCATTTTCCTCAGGCAGTGACCACCAGGCTTTCTTTTACAATCCAAAATGGGAGTGGTGAAAGAGGAGGTCACCTGAGTGCTAATGGCCATTAGTGTATGAAAAAGGGGATCTGTGTGCTCAATCTACATTCCTAGAAGTGGTTAGGTAAGAAGTTAGGAGTCTATAAAGTTAGTAAGGCTGTAAGAAAGGAGGGTCCGAGCTAAATTGTGTAAAGCTATTACTTAAGGTCCACCAGACCTAGGCGGTGTCTCCTTGTGGAAAATACCTTAAATCAGGAGACTAGCATGTGGTGGTCTGGACTGTTATTTCTGTTAGTCCTTGAAATTGGCTAAGGGATATCTGATTCCAGTGCGAAAGGGGAGAAATGGATGGGCTGGGGGGGGTGGGGGAGGAAGCCTTTCCTGAGCCTGTTCTCCAAATACCTGGAATGTGTATGTCCAGAGAGTGATCAGTCCACACTGTTAGCACTTTTTAGGGAAAAATCAATTGGGAAAACTATGAAGGCACACATGATTTTCATAACAGAGGACAGCTGATATATAACAAGCCAAATAACACTAAAAGCTCCTTGGAATTCGGCTTCCTCTGAAGGAATTCCTTGATCCCTTCAGGTAGTGATTTTGCCATAACCAGCTGAGATATATATATATATATATATATATATATATATATATTCCTGTGGCCTGCAGCATTTTGTCATTTGTACATAGGCTGATTTTTTGTGAGTTAATTTTGTATACAGCTACTTTGCTTAAAGTGTTTATCAGCTGTAGGATTCTCCAGTAGAATTTGTAGGGTCACTTATGTATACTCGCACATCATCTGCAAATAAAGATACTTTGACTTCTTCCTTTCCAATTTGTATCCCCTTGATCTCCTTCAGTGAGTTGTCTTAGTGTTCTAGCTAAGACTTCAAGTACTGTATTGAATAAGTATGGAGCGAGTGGACAGCCTTGTCTTGTTCCCGACTTTCGTGGAATTGCTCTGAGTTTCTCCCCATTTAAGTTGATACTGGCTATGGGCTTGCTGTAAACTGCCCTTATGTATAGGTATTGTCCCCTGTATATCTAATCTCTTCAGGACTTTTATCATAAAGGGGTGTTAGATTTTGTCAAGGGCCTTTTCTGCATCTAATGAGATGACCATGTGGTTTTGGTCTTTTAGTTTGTTTACATAGTGGGTTACATTTATCAATTTATTATTTGTAGGCATTAGGTTTTATAGTATATGTGTATTTTCACTTTGATCTGTTTGTACTTTTATACATTATTTACATTCACCCTTGTTACCCTTTTTTCCAAAGCTGTAGAGAAATCACTTGAGAGGGAAAATTAGATCCATAAAGCGAATGAGAGGCCAGGAACAGCTAATTTAGGTAAACTGAAAAATAAACAGCTGCTTCTTCAGATGTTACTTTTTAAATTCCTGAAACGTGAAACTAAAACTTCTAAGATTTAATTAAAAAATAAATAAACTTGTGGTGATATATTGTTCCCCCCCCAATATATTGTGTACCCTAATAAAACTTATCTGGCGTCAGAGAACAGAACAGTCACTAGATTAGACATAGAGGCCAAACAGTGGTGGCACACACACACACACACACACACACACACACACACACACACACACACACACACACACACA